AACACTTAATTTGAAAAAGATGAGGTAAAGAAAATCAGACCAGATAGAGTTGAAAGTAACAGTTGATTGATTAGAAGTCACAGCAGCAAGGGTAGCAGAAGAATTAATAGAGTGTGAAGCACGAAGGGAAATATCAATACTGGATGGAACAAGAGCAGTAGTTGGGTGCGATGGTAACACTTTATTTAATCCTATAGCGGCTGAACGCGTTAAAAGATTGGTACGACTCTCCATGTATAAATATAACTTCGAATGATTTATTAAAAGAGTTCAACTATATAAAAAGGAGCTAAACTAGATTGTTATATAGATCTCATTTGAGGCACTAACGTGAGTCAATACTTCCTTTGATGACTGCATTAGGAATAAACAATGGAAGAATACTTTACCGAATGATTCATGATTGTACCATTGGATGCCCAAATGGGATGTAGACAATGGAGTATTTGGTATAGTAATACACAAACGATACTCAATTGATAATTATTCTAACAATATGACTGCCGCTGAAGTCCAATCAGGTTCAAATGATATTGAAGCTCAATCTGATGCTGAATACATCCCACCATATCAACCAAGATCAAAAATCTTGGGTTTAAATGATACTTTGAGAAACCATTTTATTGCCGTTGTTGGTGAATTCTGTGGTACCTTTTTATTCTTGTGGTCAGCTTTTATGATTGCTCAAATTGCCAACCAAGACACATCAGTTAAACAAGATGGTTCTCATCCACCTCAATTAATTATGATTTCTTTAGGTTTTGGTGTTTCTGTTGCTGTTGGTGTTTTCATTTTCTTTAGAGTTTCAGGTGGTAACTTGAATCCAGCTGTTACTTTGACTTTGATTTTAGCTAGAGCTGTTCCTCCAATTAGAGGTGCTTTAATGATGATTGCCCAAATGGTTGCTGGTATGGCTGCTGCTGGTGCTGCTTCTGCCATGACTCCTGGTGAAATTGCATTTGCAAACTCTTTAGGTGGTGGTTGTTCAAGATCAAGAGGTGTCTTTATTGAAGCTTTTGGTACTGCTATTTTATGTTTAACTGTTTTATTTTTGGCTGTTGAAAAACACAGAGCTACCTATATTGCTCCATTAGCTATTGGTTTAGCTTTATTCATTGGACATTTGATTTGTGTCTACTACACTGGTGCTGGTTTAAACCCAGCTAGATCATTTGGTCCAGCTGTTGCTTCAAGATCCTTCCCTAACTATCACTGGATCTACTGGATTGGTCCAATTTTGGGTTCTTTCATCTCATTTGGTGTTTGGCAATTATTGAAATTTTTGGATTACGAAACTGCTAACCCAGGTCAAGATTCAGATCATTAGATTTATTTCCACTCAAACGTCACATTGTCAAATAATAAAATTCACCTTACAACATATAATAGTCTTTAACAACCTTTAATATCATTCATTTGCATTTACTAATAACTAATCATAAAACAAGAGTCTAATTATATATTTTGAATTGTAAAGCTATTGATTGTAGTTATTATCGTACGTATCATCTTGATCGATTGATAGGTATAGAGATAAATTAGATCAATTATGTTTTGAATTTGCTTACTAGTGGCTCTTCTAAAACTACATAAGGCTAATTGATAAATCATCTAGCATCCCCTTGCTAGCTGGTCAAAAATGATAAACTTAATGAGCTATAATGTATGTCTAGATTTGGTTTATACTTTGAAGTTTGTTATAAATATTCGTCGATCGTCGCAATTAGACTACCCCATTGGGAAATGCGTATAGGATTGGCGAAAATTCGAGCTACTGAAAAGAACTTCTACGAAACTGAACAAAGCATAGGCAACACCATAGTACACTAGTTCTAAACAAACAAAACAAAAACAAATTCAATACTTCATAACATCATATCACTTTAATCAACTTCTTTCAATTATCTTGTTGATAATCTCATCATTGGAACTCAATTCGGCTTTAGGGTTCTTTGATTCCAAAAATTGTTTCTTTTCTAATTCTTTAGCTTCAATCATCAGTGGTCTAATACATAACCAACCAGTTTCAGTTCTAAAATGTCTTCCTAACCCATCAGCACGAGCAAATTTTTTACCACAACCCCATTTAGTTACTTTATCACCAAGTATGCCTCCACATTGAAATTTTTTTTCACCTTGATGTAATAATTCATGTCTTTTTCTATCATGATTTCTTGCAAATTTCCTATCACAATATGAACAATTGAAAGGCTTTTCATCACTATGAGTTTTCAAATGAGATTTTAAATTATACAATCTTGAAAATATTTTCAAACAATGTGGACATTCAAACGTTTCAATTTTAGCATTTTCAGCTTCAGTTTTGGTCAAAATGCATGTTTTTCTTGTTTTCCTCTTTCTACGCCCAATTGTTTGAGCTGCTGATACTTCTGCTGCTTGTATAGCTGCCGAAACTGCATCATCACTAAAATCAATCTGATCAATTTGTTGTTGGGGTTGTATAATCTGACTATTTGAACTAATCTCTGAAAATGAAGATGATCTGGTTGAAGATGATTGAGGATAATATAATTGAGGTATAGGTAAAAAGTGCTGTGATTGCAAATTAGGAGCGGAGGCTGAAGTTTGCTGGTGCATTTGAGAATTGTAATGGTAATTGGATGATGCTTCCATTGGGTTATGGGACAAAAATGGATTATTCTTTTGGTCATGATAAAATGATAATTTAGACACCGTTGGCGTGTATTCTAATGGTGAATGTAAATACCTATTATTACCGGATGACGATTGTGGTACTAGGAAAGCTGTACTTTGAGTTATAAAACCTGTTGATGAAGGCTGATGAAATGGCTTCAAATCGCTACTAACTGGCTCAAAATTGATACTTGGAATATTTTTGGTCTTTTCCAACTTTAGGGAACCATTTGATAGAGCTTGTTGGCTTGGATAGTTCATGTTATTGCTGAAAGTGTCACTAGTCTGGTAATTGGGATTGTTTTGACCGCCCATGATAATGTTGTTATAGGAATATGTTGTTGATGTAGGCTGTACAGGATATGGAGTATTGCCCAGTTTTGTTTGTTCATGAGTTGAATTCAAGCTAGAATAATGAGGATATGAATATCCGGCAGTAGTGTGTTGCTGGTAAGTCATAGAATATTAGGGATATAGCTCTTGTTGAAGCTCTTGTTATCACCTATTGATATCTATGGTTACAACTTTTGAATATTGGGTAAAACTCGGAAAGCTTGAAGAAACGTTTAACGCGAACCAAATCTGAAAAAATGAAGTCTTTTCAACTCTTTATATAGAATCTGTAATTATGGGAATTAACGCTCAATTTGACAATGGGTACAATATGATGATACACTAGTTTATCCAATTGATACCCTTCTTTTTGTTGTATTGTTCGGCATCTGGATTTATCCCAAAAGCACGAACGCCAAATCAACGCCCACTTGCAAAGTAAAAGTTTAATAAATAAGTTGATGTAATATTTTCAAATAAATATTGATGTAGTTGTATTAATGAGTTGCTCAGGTGTATTCTACTGGTCCCTTGGACATTGGGATCTTACAATAAGCTCTCCAAAGCTCAATCTGTCGACGTGCAAGAAAGATTTTTGGCCAATGATTGTTTATATAACATTTCGGTGAATCTAACGTCGAGCAGCATTGAAAGTATAACGTTGCTAAGACCAGCCAAACACAACCTCCATGAATACATCATTCCAGCTACTCCATTTGTACAGATCTGGAGGTGCAGTGGCCACAATATAGTACACAGCTACACTCAATATACACATACGTTTGACTCAGTTGAATTATCCCCGAGCTCCGACAACTAGCCATGAATTACTGAATCTCTGCACAACAATTAATTCAAAGAACTTGGATATATTGGAAAGAGCTTAAAAATGAGTAGAGCTGCGGATTATCCAGGGGCAGTGTACTCAAGGCTTGTTGAGAGGTACTGCACACTGCACACTACAACTTCACATTAAATTCGTGAGCTCGGCTTTAGATACAGATGAGCTGATGAGCTCTTCTCTGTCCAGAAGCCGGAAAATGATTCAGCTAATTTGGGTAGACAGCCCCGATAGAGTTTTGTGGGCATCATAGCCTCACTGTTCATCAACTAAAAACACCTCAAATTTAGATCTTAACGTTCTATAGACAGTGGTTTGTTTCAATCGTTGTGCTATATTACTATAATGAGTTTTGATGTCTTATTCATTGAGTCAAGGATTACCGAGTCATAACGTGCGCTGTATCAACTGCTTGATTGTATTGGGGCGTAAATTTGGCTACGTATCGCTCATCATGCAAAATATAAAGGCTTTGTGGGTTTTGATATTATAATATCATATTTCAGTAGAAGGCTTATATCGGCAACTACACTTAAGCAGTCCTGTAAGTGTAATCTCGTCGAGTCGCGGTGCTGTTTGAAGTTTACATTAATCTAGATACACCAAAGCGATTCAGTATGTAGAAACAATATGATGATGTTACCTGATACTAGAAGGCCCTCTAGGTTGAATGCTTTCTGATGTATAGAAGGGTACGCTATATGATTAGAGCTTGACGTTAATGTTGAGCAAATACCGAAATGTTATCAGCTCTGCTGACACATCATTTAGGTAATAATAATTCTGTTTAAAAAAAAATACACATCAGATTAACACAAGGATCTATACCTACTCTAGCTGTAATTCAACTTTCATAATTTGAAACCAATCATGACTCAACATAACATGCAGTTTGACACTTCTGATGTCATTTTATACGTTTTAGCGTTTTTTTTGCCACCATTTCCAATATTGATCAGAGTCGGGTTTTGCACAAATCAGTTTTTGTTGAATGTGTTGTTGACATTGTTATTTGGTTTACCAGGAACTTTACATGCTTTATACATTATCTATATCACTAGTCCTATCACTGGATCTCCAGATAGAAGAGTGATTAATGGTGATTACGAGAGAGTAATTGAAAATGATGGCACCACCCCTAATAATGATAATTATCCACAAGCTGTTTTTGATCAACAGGCTGATAATGCTCAACAGATTCCATCCTCTTCATCAATACACCAACCAGTAAATGCTCCTCCTCCACCATACGAAGACTCAAAAGATTTCAATAAGGATTCTACTGATAATAAGGTTCAAAAGTTTTAGGTACATTAATGAGACAACATATAACAAAGACGAAGAAACAGGGGAACAGGAGTCTTCAGGGGAATCCAAATGGGAATTATATAGGGAATAATGAGAACAATAAAGAGTTATGAAAGAAATATACGATATTAGCGACATTTTTTATGCTCCAGATCACGTACAAATTGACTTCGCGAAATTTTTGACCTTACTGAGCAAAAAAAAAAGAGATCACATTTAAACCTACTCTAGTCATCTATTCCAACTACCTGAATAATATCAACACTATCAGACAAGAGCTAAATCTTTCCACTCTATTCACTGGCACCAAAGCTTTAGGGAAGAAATGTCTGATCAAACAGATGCTGGTCACTATCCAGGTAAGTTGGGTTCATATCAGTGGATGATTCTTGAGAGATATATTAACATTATTTAGACACCTCGAAGGGAATTAAAGGACGGTTCTCTTGGGTCAAAAGACTTATCCAGTCAAGAAGCAATTCCTCATTCGCTATGGCGAATCATAGGAGGGTGAGCTCAACCAATAAGCATCAAGTCAAAATCAACCATGAGAGACACAGAGATGAGAATCAAGTTCCAACACCTGTTTCATCAAACCCAATCAACAGTTCACACTCAAGAGGGAATGATAGAACAGTTATCACTGATAGGTCAAATGGCACACCAGTAACCAGTCAAAATAGAAACCTTGTGACACGTTTTGATTTGAGTCCAGAAACTGATAATAGTTTCGACGTTGATCAATCCCTCAACCAATCTATGAAAACATCATCAAAGACTCCATCTATTGCACATGAAAGTATCAACACTAGAAACGACAATATAAGTACACTGCCTGTGATCTCAATGTCTACGGTCTCTGTGAGGTCATCAACATTTTCAGAGAATTCTCAACCATCAACTTCAGGCACAGTATTATCGGACCATCCCACACTCTACACAAATGCTAGTACCGTGGGAATACCCCCAGCTAGTATCATGGATAGAAGAGAAAGATTGCATCATCCTGTGAGCCTCAATAACTATCATTTAACGGGCCATAACAATTCCAGCCATACTATCAACACATCTACATCTCCAACATCTGCTATACCCAACGAATATGGAACTGATATTTCTTCTTTGAAGTCATAAAAAGAATTTCATTGACATGCTTTAGTCTTGGACTTCGCGCTGGTGAAGGTTTTCAACTTTTGAAACTTGTTTATAAAATGTTGGTTTTTTTTTCATTATTTTTCTTTACTTCTTCATACCACCCACCAAAGCGCCTGAAATCACAGTTAAAGGACCAATCTAGAAGAGCGGCTGGAAGTAAAGTCAAGAAAAATATGAAGTTATTTGAGTGGTTGGGCTTCACAGCATTTATTGCTCTTACAAATTTGTTATTTGTAAAAGCGGTTGTTGGTCAAGAGGAACAGGTTTTGAAACCACGTATGATTCAATTGACAGATGATAAACATATGTATTGGAATCCTGAAGAAGAAGAGGATGATAATAGCGATGATGATATCAATTATTTTAGCCCTGGTTATTATCCCTCACGTTAGTGTTTGATACTTTAATTTAATAGTTTGGCGCTTAGCGCTTTAGAAGTCAACTTTACTAACATGGATAGCGGCTGGTGGTAGATTGCAGCATGTTTGGCAAGCAGCATATGCTAAAGCAAGAGATATTGTTAGTGAAATGACTGTCCTAGAGAAGGTTAATTTAACAACTGGTATTGGATGGGGTTCTGGTCCTTGTATTGGTAATACTGGTGGAGTCCCAAGATTAGATATCCCTCCGTTATGTCTTCAAGATGGCCCTAATGGCGTTAGATTTACAGATTTTGTCACAAGTTTCCCATCTGGATTAGCAACTGGTGCTACTTTCAATAAGGATTTAATGCATCGTAGGGGTAAAGCTATCGGAAGAGAAGCAAAGGCAAAAGGTGTTCATATTTTATTAGCCCCAACAATTGGACCAATTGGTTACAAAGCACAAGGGGGTAGAAATTGGGAAAGTTTTGGATCAGATCCATATTTACAAGGTATTGCAGGGGCCCTAACTGTTCAAGGTATTCAAGAAGAAGGTGTCGTTGCAGTTGCACGTCACTTTATTGGTAACGAGCAGGAACATTTCCGTCAAGAAAACGAATGGACAGGTGGTGATTGGGATAGATTAACAGACTCTATTGATTCTCAAATTAAAGATCGTGTCATGCATGAAATCTATTTATGGCCTTGGGCTGATGTTGTTCACGCTGGGGTTGGTGGTGTTATGTGTTCATACAATAGGGTCAACGAAACATATGCTTGTGAAAACTCTTATTTACTTAACTATCTTTTGAAAGAAGAATTGGGATTTCAAGGATTTGTTGTTAGTGACTGGGGTGCACAACATTCAGGTGTTGAGTCTGCCTTAGCAGGTTTAGATATGACCATGCCCGGTGAAATTTTTGGTGATTGGTGTAGTGGGAAATCATATTGGGGCCCTTTGTTAACCAGATCTATTTACAATGATACAATCCCACAATCTAGATTAAATGATATGGTAACTAGAATCCTAGCAGCTTTTTACTCAATTGATATCAAACTACCAAGTGAACAACGCGAGGAAGATTTACCAAATTTTAGCTCATGGAGTTTTCATACCTACGATCAGGAATTTCCATTCCAGAGTTATGGACCAATTAAACAAACAAATTACCATATTGACGCAAGAGATGACTTTACTGAAAAAACTGCTTTACAAGTTGCTCGTGAGGGTATTGTTCTTTTGAAAAATGATGCACATCACCTTCCTATTTGTACCAATGATGGGGTGCGTAGACTATTGGTTGCTGGAAAAGGAGCAGGTCCTGATACTAAGGGATTCAATTCAAAAGATCAACAATCTGCGGATGGTGCATTGTTTAGTGGTTGGGGTTCTGCTAGCGTCAATGCCCCTTACGGAATAACACCTTGGGAAGCAATTGCTAAAAAAGCTAGAGAACGTGAAATGGTGATTGACTATACAAGTGATGAATATGAGTTTGACCATGTTGATGAAATTGCTGAATATGCAGATATGTGCATAGTATTTGGGTTTGCAGACTCAGGTGAAGGTTATATTGAAGTTGACGGAAATTTTGGTGACAGAAAAAATCTTACTCTATGGCAAAACACAGAAGAGTTGATCCAGCATATTGCGAATAGATGTCATAAAACTGTTGTCGTTGTGACTGCCACGGGTCCTGTTAACCTAGAGTCTTTTGTTGACCATGAGAACGTTGTTGCTGTACTTTACACACCACCTTTAGGTCAGTTTTTCGGTGCTGCAATTGCAGATGTTTTATTTGGTGATGATAATCCAAGTGGTAGATTACCATTTACTATTGCCCGTAAAGATGACCAATATGTTGATATCATTGACAAAATTCCATTGAAGGGTAAACCACAAGATGACTTAAACAGACTTTTAGATTATCGTTACTTTGATGAAAATGGAATCAGACCTCGTTATGAATTCGGATTTGGTTTATCATACACTAAATTCTCCTTATCAGAACTTTCAATCAAAGAGATTTTACCTCCAACGACTGATTTACCTTGTCCTGCTCCATACTTAGATGAATATGTGTATGCAGAGGAAAAACTCAAAGACGTCGATGACGCTTTGTTTCCATTCAGAGATTTTACACCTGTTCCAGGGTATATATATCCTTATTTGTTCAATGAGAAAATTTACAGTGTTGATGAGTATGAGTATCCGGAAGGTTACACAGAGGAAGATTACTACGAGGAGCCATTGGCAGGTGGTAGCTTAGGAGGAAATGAAGCATTGTGGAATGTTTTATACTCGGTGAAGGTTGAAGTCACAAATATTGGTGATAGTGAAGGTGCTTATGTTGCTCAATTATATATTGATTATCCTAATGGTTATGGCGATATCAAAACACCTAGACAATTGAGAGGGTTTGATAAAGTTTATGTAAAGCCTGGTGAAACGGCTAAGATCCACTTTGATATATTAAGAAGAGATATCAGTGTTTGGGACACAGAAGACCAAAGTTGGGTTATTAACCCTGGAACTTATAAACTTTACGTGGGTTCAAGTAGTAGAAGACTTGAATTGGCTGGTGAGGTTGAAATCTTATAAGGGTTGAAGTCGAAAACGGAAAGAAGAATATAAACAGAGCTATAATAGATACACGCTGATTTCTACTGTCTCAATTGCTCCAGATTGTTTTACGTGTAGTTTTAAGAGAGAATATGAATGGCGTCGCGAAAGCCACGAACTAAACTGAAAACGGTTGCGAATTGCTACACAACTCTTGTTCAGCAACTTGGTGAAGGAGTACAAATCAAAAAGCAAAATTGCTATATAATAGAGTTGTTGCTTTGATAGTAAAATATATAAAAGAGAACAAACAGTCATGAAATCTATAAATCTATTTCAATAATTTAAGATAAAAGAAGCCAAAGAACAAAGTGTCAAAATGCCTACCCACCAACTAGCAATAGACCACAAAGTTAAACTAAATGACGGCTATTCAATTCCAGCAATTGGACTTGGATCAGCAACACCAAAAGATGACCATTCACGTCTGGAGGAAGCTGTGAAGTCAGCAATTAGAGCAGGTATTCGTCATATCGATACAGCGTGGTACTATGGGAGTGAGCCAGCTATCGGTAAAGCTTTAAAAGAATTGTTTGATAATGGTGAAGTTAAAAGAGAAGACTTATTCATAACCACCAAGGTCTGGCCAGCTTTATGGGATAGGGCAGAAAAATCTCTTAACGAATCATTGAAGTCGCTTGGTGTTGATTATGTTGATTTGTTATTACAACATTGGCCTGTCTGTTATGACACGGATGAAAATGGTGAACCTAACAATCCATATGATGAGAATGGTGTCTTACACTTTGCTAAGAACGGGGACTATGTTGAAACATTCAAGCAAATTGTCAAGTTGAGAGATACAACTGATAAAGTGAGAAGTGTTGGTGTCTCAAATTATACTGAAAAATTATTGCAAAGGGCTATTGATGAGACTGGTGTTGCCCCGGTTTTGAATCAAATTGAGCTCCATCCTAGAATCCCACAGAAGAAGCTGGTCAAATTTTTTGAATCAAAAGGTGTAAAAATAGAGGCTTATTCTCCATTTGGTGCTCAAGGTGCTCCATTGCTTGAAGAACCAAAGGTCAAAGCATTAGCTGAAAAGTATACAGTAAGCCCAAACGTGATTTTGACATCATATCATATTCTCAGTGGTAGAATAGTTGTTGCCAGATCTTCAAACAAGGATAGAGTCAAAGATTTTATCAATTTGGCTGAGTTGACTAAAGAAGAGATTGAAGAACTTGATCAAATCGGTATTGAAAACCCACAGAGATTTATCAATGAAGGCTGGGGTATTGGTTTAGGATTTGAGCATTGGAAAACCACCCCTTCGTGGGAGGAAAAGAAATAATTTGTTCTTAAGATGAAATAAATGTTGAATTGTTTTTCGTTAGATTAATTGTAGCTTCTAATTTGCCCTATAATTATTCTGCCATTTCCAAAAGGGTTTATGCCAGGATGAATTTTTCAATTTTTTTTTTTTTTTTTGGTTTTTATTGATGAAGTAGAAAATTTGATTCATGAAAGTTGGAACTTGTTGCAAGAAAGAATAAGCTAGTTAAACAACAGATGCTTGCTTCAGAATCTGCGAAATCTCAGAGCCCTGAGTCCTTCGTTTACACAGGATTGATAGAGTCTTACTTGGGTAAAAGAGCGGCTCTTATATCGTCAGTGTTGATCAGTTATGGCAGATTGAGTGCTAGAGAGTTGTCAAAGAAATCAAAGCTGTCACCATCAACAGTGAAGAAAACCCTAGTTAGTTTAATTCAACTTAATTGCGTTTCTGTGTGGGTTGAAACTACTTTGAAATCTGAAACCACATACTACTATTTCAAAGAAGATGGTGCTTTGGCGTTGTTATATTCTGGTGAGATCATTGGATATGTTGACAAATTATACAATAATGATTCTTTAACTCAAATTGTTTCCAACTTTTTAAGTTTAGGGAACTTATCAATTAATGACTACTTATCGTCCTTTGGTTCTGATGATAAGGAGGAAGTTCACCAATTGGAGAAACATTTTGCGTCATTAGTGACAGATAAATTTTTGATACCAATATCAAAGACCCATTTCAACCCACTTAAAGATCTTTGGTTACAAACATATAAAAAGGCCTACGGAAGAATACCGAAAACCTCAACATTGTCAGAACTTAAGAGAAAAGCTGAAGCAAAAGCGTTTGCAAAGCTTGAATTTTTGAAAATTGTTGACTACCAACCTGAAAGCCTTATAATCAAAGATAAATCAACATCTTCCTCCAAAATCAATCCAAATATCAGCTTGTCCTTTAATATTCAAAGGTTCTTGAAGTACAAACGCAGTGTGCAGCTAACACATTTCTGCTGCCATAGAATTGGCAAAGTTACATCAGTCATTTATGAAAGCGCATTGTTAGCTACCGATAAAAACACGCCGCCTGTCATTAATCCATTACATCAAATTGGTTTATCAAATGAAGAGTTTGAGGATGCGTCGGCCTATGAACCAAAAAATTCTTGTACATTCAATGCTAGAGATGTATTGAAACACCTCCCAACAGATTTTATTTTGAACGGTACAATTTTGAATGGACCAACAAAAAGAAAGGCTTCTGATTCCGATACAAGATCCAGCTCAAAGCGTGTTAAATTGGAAGAAGGGTTTTCTGTTCCAGAGTTGAATGGCGAGGATCATTCAGATGACGAGGTTGAAGATTCAAATACAGCTAAACTTGCTATTGTGGAGCAGCACTTGAAAATATTGACTAATTCAACAATTCCATTTTTGAAAAAAGCTCAAAACGGGCTATATTATGTTCCCTTTCCGGAAGTTTTAACTCTTTTGAAAAGATCAGTATATGATTCTGTTATATCATCAACATTGGGGGCTCCTTGTGCAAGAATTTTAAGATGTGTTCGTGATAATAGGCTAGTTTCAGAGAAGCTCATTAATTCAGTCGCTCTATTGAGAGAAAAGGATGCACGCTCACTAACTGCAACATTAGTCAAATACAACAGTTTGCAAATCCAAGAGATTCCAAAATCTGCTGATAGAGCTGCTTCGAAATCGGTTTTCTTATATCGCTTTAATGAAAAGCATAGTTTTGATTTTTTGAAAAGTAATGTTTGCTGGAATATGGGTCAGTTATTGGAGAAAATCGATTGTTTAAAGCAGGAAAATAGTGGTTTAATAACTAAGATCAACAGAGACGACGTTAAGGGGAAAGAGATGGACTATTTATTACCAAGTGAATTAACCCAACTCAAAGAATTGAAAGACAGGGAGCTTGATGGTGTTATCAAAATCAATAGACTCACCTCAATCTGGGAGGTCTTCAAGTTTTTCTGATCAGTTTTTTAATCAAATCACCAGGCATTGGTTATTGTTCAAAATTGTAGCTTATACATCCGACCATAATTCACCGGGATTGCCCCTTTGGTGGAATTGTAAACAAACTAGAAAACCAGGAATCGTCTTCAAACTTTTGAGCTCAACTAGAATGAAACTAGTGTCACCAAGTGCTGTTATACTCCGATGATGTCGAGCACTAAGAAATCTAATATCTCGCGTGAAGTACTCCCATCTGAACAGATAGCCAAACTCAAAGATGCATTTGAAATAATGGACCATGACAACGATGGGATAATCTCCAAAAGAGATCTCGAGAGTCTAAAACAAACAACAGGCAAAACTTTATCTCAAGAGGAGATTGCAAATTTGCTATCCTATATTGATAATGGTAATGACAACCTTAACTTTTCCACTTTTCTGTCGATAATGTCCAATGATTTATCTCAACTGCCGAATAAAAGTGAAATACTAAGAGCTTTAAAAGTGTTCTCTACAGATACAGAAGTTCGTGCTGAGGAATTGAATAAAAATTTAAGCGCGATAGGAATGAATGAAAGTGAGTTCAAGGATGTTATAGATAGATTTAAAAGTGAGAGAATGAATGGTGATCAAGTGTTTATGGGTACGGACTTTCTAAATTTTGTGTCAAACTAAATATACATTATTATTATGATGAGGGTTATCTGTACTAATAAAAATTGACAAACCAAATTAATTATTTTACATTTAGACATCTATATCAACGATCAATTCATCACAACCCCAATCTTCATAACTTCCATCTGGTAAATATCTTCTAATAACCAATGGAATCTTTTTTTGAGCCAACTCTTTGATTGCAATTTGCAAAGGATCAGTTTCACCTTCCAAATCAACCAAAACTGGTGCATTCATTGATATTTGTAAGGCTCTTGTACCTAAGATTCTGGCTCTTTCATATTTAGTCATGTATGGTGTTGTTGTTCTCTTACTTTTTGGAATGGCTAACTCTTTGTTTGTTTTTCTTCTGGCTTGATCACTATTGAATTCATCAGCACCAGTACCCCCGTTGACTATAGTTCTTCCATCTTCAGCAACTTCTTCTGTAGGTTGGACGTCATCGTAATCTGAATTGTATTCTTGTTCGAAATCTTCAAAGTTTTCATTTCCATCGTTGAAACTGTTTCAAAGTGTTAAAACGCAAAGAAAATATGAGCTCGAATGGATAAGCGACTACTCACGCATCATCACCGTAATCAGACATGGCCCAAAGTCAATAAGTCAAATTAAGAATCTTCACTCTTCCACTTCATCACCAAAAGATGTCTAATTTTTTTCCTGAAGAAAACTTTCAAATTGTTACATAATCAAGTGGCTTTTTTTTTTTTTTTTTTTTTTTTTTTTTTTTTTTTTCTTCTCTGGAAATTTAAATAAAACACTACAGTATTTACGTTTAAAAGACTAAAAAGCTTCCATTTATTGTGCTGCTGATTGTTGCTGTAATTCAGAGTGGCTATTGATCTAATGAGCTCAGAATCAGAACCAAGCTCTCGTGGAAGGAGAGATTCAGTTGTCTCCACAACTTCTGTCTCATCAGTCACGTCAAGATCGAGCTCATCAAGCTCGAGACCAAAAATTTATCATTGTGATTATGAGGGATGTGATAAGGTATACTCGAGGCCAAGCTTGCTAACTCAACATCAGCGAACCCATACAGATTCAAGGCCATTTCAATGTGATCTTTGCGATCGTGCTTTCTTTAGAGATTCGCATCTCAAGAGACATATAATATCCCATGCTGAAGATAAACCCTTCAAATGTCTAGTATGTGGGAAAGGAGTCAATACAAAACAACATTTGAAACGTCATGAAATAACACACACAAAATCTTTCAAATGTGATCAAGAAGGCTGCGAGGAGGCGTTCTACAAACATCAACAATTGAGGCACCATGTACAGTCAGTACATTTGAAAGTTTTAACATGTAAAGAGTGTGGCAAGACATTCCCAAGACCATATAGATTAGCAAATCATTTGACAAAACATCACGGTGAGTCACCTGCTTATCAATGTACTTTCCCTGGATGCTTCAATAATTTTAAAACATGGTCTGCCTTACAACTACATGTTAAAACTGATCATCCTAAATTAACTTGTAACATATGTGGAAAGGGTTGTGTTGGGGAAGAAGGTCTTCGTATGCACATGGTTGTCCATGATACAGAAAAATCTATCAAAAGATGGAAATGTACTGAATGTACCAGTGAATATCTTAAAAAAGAGGAACTTTTGAGACATTGTCAGGATGATCATGGTTTCATTCCTACCAGTTTGCAAGATTTAGCCAAATCTGATGATGCAGATAGAGAAAAGAGACAACAATCACCACTAGTAAACTCTGCAAAATTGCAGAATTTTATATCCAAAGGTGGCTCTGCTTCAGATTTGTTGCTAAATGCAGTCGCAGCTCCAGTGAGAACTATACCCTGTTCTTTCAAAAGTTGTTCGAGAATGTTTAGAAGAGATTACGACCTACAGAGACATTTGGAATGGCATAAAAAGCAAAAAGAAAAATTTATTAGTATTTTAGATGCAAGGAACGACGAAAATGTTGATTTATAGATGTTAAAAGTGTTTGGGTTAGGATAATTGTTTATTGGTTTGGAAGGAGTTATTATTTTTTTTTAGAGTTTGGATTTTTTCATTATAATTCATTATTGTTTTGGTAGATTCATGTCACTCATGGCAAATAGCAGGTCATCATCATCTTCATCATCTTGTTTGAGTTCATTTGTAGAGGTTCCTGGCTTTCCCTTTCCAGTGAATGAATCAATTGACGTACTTGTTTTATGCATTTTGGCATGGGTAGCGGTGGCTGCAATGGTTGGATTTGAAGGTCCTATACTAAAGCTTTTGTTTGATCTTCTCAAAATTGATGCAGGCGAACTTGAACCTATTCTTGAAACATTTGTGGAGTTACTTCTAGTTTCTCTTAACCCATGACTCAATGATTCGTTACTACTATTCCCTTCTAGTAATCTGGAAGGGATAGCAGGGAGATATTGTGAATTAGACTTTGGTGAAACTGACATATTTCTTCCTTGAAAATTAGGAGCAGCATAACTTGACATCTGAGGTGGAGGAGATGAGGACTTTGAAAACACGCTAGCAGACAGACTCTCGCCTAGCATATCATTTCTAGATTTCATGGATTGAAACTTACCTAAAGAATCTTGAATATTTGGGGAATATTTCAATCTCAAATCTGGCTTACTATCAATGAGCTTGACAAAATCATTAAGATCGTCATCCACATAAATTCCACTTGAAGGATTTCTGAAACTTGAAGGCGTTCCTCTTTCAAGACTCGACGGAGTACCACGATCATTACTTGAAGATCTTCTAATACTTGAACGACGTGTGATTTTTCCAAAAGACGATGAATATTTGGGAGTACTTCCACTTGAACTAAGGTCATTGGAGTTAGGAACTGGTATGCCATAGATTGAACCAATTGATGAAGTAATTGACTTTGGGACTGACGTACATGGCCCACTATTTGATCCAGATCTTTGATTTCGTAAAACTTGCGCCAGAGATGCAGTTGAATTGTTTCTTCCCAATGGTGAGCTATTTGGTGGTGATGCTGTACCAGCTTTGAAGGCTTTTCTTAAAGGAACGGATGCTGTTTTTGTCTTATCAATATTCAAAAAATGATTAGAGAGCGTCTCCTCATTATCACTTAGTTGAAAATCTGTATGTTTTCTGTATGAGACTGAGATCTTGAGAGTTCCGATTGTAGTTGAGACAGGACTTATAGTCTTTTGTACCAAATGATCATCTATGTTAGCAACAATGGGTTTGCTCAAACCTATTCTTCCCTTTGATACAATAGGTTTATAGCCGTCTAGTATTCTTGTTCCAATTTTCAAGGGGGTTTTTGTTAGCTTAATTTTTAAAAGTCTTTTCAGTAGCCTATATGTTGGAAGAAGCTTTGTAATTGTATAAAGGTATCTGAATGTTAGAATGAGTTTCTTATAAAGTAGGGGCAATTCTGAATTAACATCATCATATGTAGTCGTGTCTAACTCTATCAGCCATCTTTCCAAAACAACTTCTGTCTTCTTTGTATTTATATTCCAAGTGTCACCATGATCATCCTTCAAAGTTAAAGACTGGTTCAAGTTTATATCTCTTAAATCTAAGTATGTTTCAATCACTATAGGAGAAGCGGTTTTCCCGTTGAAAGACTTCCATTGTTTCAAATCATCTCTTGAGGTGTCATACATATCTAAGTTGAACCATTTGTTGAGCTTTGAAGAGCTCATGCTATTAGTATTGTCTTCTAAAGACGAACGAGCTTGTGTGATGACATTAGCCGCCTTCAGAAAGAAGTTCTGAACAACCTGGCTCTGTTTATCCCTCCTAGTTGACGCCATGAATCCTTGATATGAGCCATGTAATTATCTGTTGATTAATGAAAATAGCTGTTATTGATAGTATAGCGTGAGCTTCCTAGCTTGTTTATTTGGTTAAATTACATAGAAGCTCCTGTGATCAGGAAATAACAACGTCGCGACTAAGAATTCGCGAACTCACTGATAAGCTGGAACATCCAGACATATTGATCACACTAGTACTGGCGCGAGTATCCGTCGACTACAAACAGTGTATACTGGGTAATTTTAAAACATAATTCAAAATATAATGTATAAAATGCATAACAAAAATACACAAGGAATGAAGTGATCAAAGGTAGCGAGCCATGATGACAGTCACTATATTAATCATGATGGATTGTAGAACTGTTCATTATTTTATGAAGTAAAATTTTTGTTCCAAAGATCTAAGTGAAGATCCAACAAGCATGAGGTACTCCAAGCTTGAGTTGGAGAAGAATCATGACAAAGCTCTCCATCTTTGTTGGTCAACTCAGTTAAACCAGCCCATGGACTTTCTCTAATCCATTTTCTATGCTCTTTGAGTCTAACAGCGAGTAACTGGTTCAATTCAGATGATGGCTCACCTAAATCATTTTTGAATGATTCGTCTTGATAATGGAATGCATGGAAAGCACGCAGGAAGTAACCAAAGCACCAAACCCATTCAGGACCTTGATGATAATTTCTACCTTTTGAGGTAGCAAAGTCATCTGAATCATCTGAATTAATATAATAAGGTCTGTAGTTGTAATCTGACGGATCTAATGTCCTCATACCTAACGGTCCCCTAATGACCTCATCTGCAATGATTAAAGCTTCTAACGCTTTACTTGGGGTAAATAACTCCGGTGCAACTGTCATTGCAATCGGGAAGTTGGCTCTGAGTTGATAATCTTCATATGGCTTACCAGTTTTATAAAGATCTTTATAGATACCCCGTCTATTGACAATAGCTGGATCAACACGGTACATTGAATCTTCTTTAGGATCTTTTGGGACGTAAAAACACTTTTCAAAATTATCTTGAAGTAAACCATCCCAATCTTTGATTTTAATTTGACCACCAGTCGACTTCTCAACAGAGTCATATTTGAACAACCCTTTCTTGTTTAACTGAATAACAAATCTAAGTGCACTTTTCAATAAACCATTAATTTCAACAGCTGCACCATCCCGTGGAGTTCCTGGAACACCTTTATTACCAGCCTTTGCGCTTTCACCCATTTTATCCATCCAAGTACCACAATTAAACTGTGACCCACCATGAACTAATCCTGTTTCCCAATCAACAAATACTTCAACATTGAAACCTTCATCTTTCATTTGACTATCTAATCGTGGACCAGCATTTGCTTCACGAAATTTGATTCCCTTAGCATGACGTGACAAGATCTCATAAATAATATCTTCTATAGAAGTTTCATAACTAAAAGCTTCTGGATCATCATGTTTAATATAACGATCATCTAATGGGAATCTTCTTTTGACTTTGTCATGGAGTATCTTCTCTCCATCTGGAACGATGTGGATATAATCTTGAATGCACTGCAAAAAGAACCAAGCAGCATCACGAGCATTATAACGTGGGTTTCTACCGGCATCTAATAAATTAGGAATCATACCGTGTTTCAACGTAGCAGCAAAGTTCAATATATGGTTTCTAGCATCTTCATACCTCCCAGTGGCTAATAATAAACCTCTGATTGAAATAAAAACATCTCTTCCCCAACATCTCATGTAATCATAACTGAAATGTGGCAAACCTGCCGCCATACTTGGTACTTGCTTAAAAGGAGCCAAAGAAGTTGATCTCATTATACCAGTCATTTGAATTGAAGTAAGGGCCAATCTCTGTAAAAATAAATTACCATTTTGAATTTCAGGGACAAATGAAGTTAATGCTCTAAATCTTAAAGCTTCATAAGCAATACCAATGACTAGAGCAAAATAACGAGGAACCAAGAAGAATGGAACTTGTTTAATTCTATCAAGTCTTGTTTTCAACCAACGAGTGAAAGTATCTATTGGACCATCATCTCTATACTTTTGAAGTCTATTTGTAATATAATCTAATGCCCACAGACCATTTCTCAAATGATCCGAGATTGGATGAGCCAAATCATTATTCTGGATAACGTCTCTCAGCACAGAAATCCAGCCTTGTAATCCAGCATACACAAGCTTGCCATGATTTGGAATGTCATAAACACCATCTTGACCAGCACTTGCATCTCTTTCTTCAGATTCACACTTGTACAATAAAGCATTTAAATCATATAAAGTTAAACCCTCTGTGGACTTTATAGCACCATTTCTTATATAATCATCCAATTCTTGATTCACATTCTCGATTGTTGTCTTTAAAACAATAATAGAACCTTGAGGAAAATAATCTGGTAACGAAATCTCTGAATCACCATTTATATATTCAACTTTTGGACTTTCTAATTTCTTCACGTGCACTGGAACAGAAGTTAATTTTGAATCATCATTTGAAGGATCGCCAATTTTCTCCAAGCTGTATGAAAATTCATGACTGGCTTTGGTACCTTTCAACACCACTGGTGCTAACCATTGATCTTCAGCTTGATGAAATTTAGTACGAGCAATTAAAAACCAACCTTCACCAGTTTTCGCATTCAAACGCTGTAATGTGATAAATTGACCCTCGTGATGAACATGCATTTCATGATCCTCTGCGTTGTAGCTTGAATTTGAAATTAACTTACGGATCTCATAAAGTTTAGCTTTAACTTCACCAATCCCATTACCAAAAGTATACTGTCTTTTCTCATTAACAACATCTAATAGATGTGGATAACACTCATCATAGCCAAATACTGAGCCCACCGCTGTTGCACATAATGAAACAAGAGCAGCATTTGGTAAAGTATCTTCAACTGTTCTTTTATCATAAGGAGTTTCATTGTCATGTGTACAATCCATAAATAAGGCATGTGTGCGAGCAGGTTTCAAGATTCTTGGAATTTGTATTTCTGACAAGCAATTTGTAATAACTTCATCTTTACCATCTGGAGGATAAGCAAAATCATCTAATGGTAATGGTTGGAAAGAACCAATTGGCAAACCAGCATGTCTGTAAACTAACCTTGATAATTCATCAACAGACCAAGCTTGCATAGCTTCACGGATTAATGATGAAATACCTAATCTTTCCACAAATAAATTATCCATATCTTCCGAGCCAGAAAACAATTCTGCAACAACATATAGATTTGGTTTAATTCTTCTTGCTAAATCCAAAAAATATTCTCCAACATGTAATGGTGTAGAGTGACAATTATCGATTCTAAAACCGTCAAAAATCTTTGCAGATAACTTCACATATTCTTCAATTCTGTTCCATAAATATGGTGAATCTTGAGGACCTGAACCATAGCGCAATTTAACACAATCACCCCAGATGATAACTTCACGAGTTAAATAACTTTTGGTTTGATTTGAAGCGAAATCCACCAATGGGTTACCATTCCATATCCAACCGTTATTAGCTAATTGATAATCTTTCCCGTCTTTTGCAGTGAATCTGGTAAAATATGGTTCAGTTAATGGATTCTTCTTGTTGATTTCACCTAGTTTTGGACCATGGTCATCAACACGTAAATATTTAATTCTATTAAATAACTGCTCCATTATATCACCAACATCATTATCATATTCTTTATATCTTGGTAAGTTCACTTCATCTAGGATTTTATGAGCATTCTCTTCAATTTCTTCGAAAGAATGGACATCAAAGGCAGAGTTCAAGATAGTGGCCAATTTTAATGGATCAACTTTATTGGCGTAACGATCAGCCAGTGTAATAGTTGCAGCATTTTCGGCCACGAAATGAGCCAATTTAACTAACGAACCTTTAATATCTTCAGGGATTTCAATTTTTTCAAATTGGTGATTTGAATCCCAAATTTGTTTCAATTCATTCAATGAATTTTTAACATCAATGACATAAAATTCCCAAAGCTTCAAATCACCAAGCACATGAACTTTGATACCATCCATAATTTTAAGTAAATCTGAAACGTTGTTTAAATTAGTTGGATAATTCAATTCTTTTAATCGATCACTAAATTCCAATAATTTCCCATCAAGTTCAATAGCCGAAATTAAATGAGGAGCAGTTTCTTTATTATAACCGGCATCTGGATGATCTCTAAGCCAAGTTGAATTATTAGCAGTATGATTGAAGACAACATCGGTAATTGATAATAAATTTTTTTCTTTCTGAAGTTTTTGAACCAATTGTTCAACATCTTGTTGATTTTCAAATAAATTTGGATCAAAAGTTAATTGATCAAAAATTGAATAAGGAGAGTCTGATTCACCTCTTTCTTGTAAAGGAGTGAAATGAACCATATTATAATTCTTCTTTGAGATTTCATTGAAGACATTATCCCAATTTGTTCTTGGCCCCAACCATTTGGAAATAACAGATTCAAGAGCAATTGCATTTAATGGGATAAATTCATTATTGATATAAAGTGAAGGAGGAACAACAAAATAAAACTTTCTAGTGGTTTTTAAATGATTAGAATCATCTCTATAGGAAATGTAGTAGCTATAAGAACCAGGTTTATAAATCTTGAAATCCAATTCATTATCACACGTGAATGAATTTTCTATAGCTCTTTTATGATATTTTGATCTTTCGAAAGGGGTGTCAGCATCTTCAGGAACATTGATCCAAACAATACCGTTTCTAGAGATTGGACAAGCAGCAGGAATAACAAGTCTTAGATTGAACAAGTAATCACCATCTTGATAGTTATTTGGAAGCGGTAAAGCTGGAAGAAACACAACACCTTTTTCCTTTGTTTCTCCGTTCTCATCAACCTTGAGAATAAGGGTAGTCATTGCTTCTTTTTGATAAAGGAGTAATGAGTAAAATATTGGAAAGGAACTGGGCGGTTGAGGATGGATTGAATTGGGAAAGTGTGTTGATGGGTTTTGTTTGTTCAAGGATGAAACGAGACCCCCTTGGTTGAAATTAAAATCATGTGTAGAAGAATTGTGTATGATCAAGATTGCTGTTGGCTGCACTCCGCCTGTGGGGCCCTTTCTCTGCCTAGCTGCGATGGGCTTGTCTGCCTGCCTGAGGGCGCCTCTGCCTGGACCACCAAAACTCGCGAATCGATCGCGACCAATGAATGGCGCCCGTTACAAGTGACAGATCAGTTTACAACTTTATAAAAACATGAATAATAACTAGATTGAATTAACCAAAGATGATGTTGGACAAAACAATGTAAGCAGCAACAATTAAGAAGAGGATGATAAATAACAAAGGCAAGGCACCGAACTTGTAAATGTACAATTCTTTTAATTGTTCCAAGTATTGAATCATAACTTTACTTGACAATTTTGATTCACCTTCAGTTCTGACACCAAAAGAATATGGAACTTCACCAATTGGTTCATTTTTTGGTAAAGGAAGCTTAGCTAATAACTCTAATGCAATTTTGAAACCTTGTGTATTGACATTTTGAGCATTAGTCAAGTATTTTTTTTGAACACCGAAAAATCCACTCATTGGATCAGATGCAGTAGTTAAAGGTCTAGCCAAGATTCTAGCACCTGAACTAATAACACGACGATATAATGGCCAATCCTTATCAATACCAACACCATCAGCATATCTGGTACCAATTGAAAATGGGTGAGATCTTAAATTTTTCAAAAAATCAGGGACTGTTTCTGGAGGATGTTGTAAATCAGCATCCATACACATCAAATATTCACCTTTAGATTCAGCAAAACCTCTCAAGACAGCAGAACTCAAACCACGTTCAGTTGTTCTAACAATTATATCGACATTGTAACCTTGTTTCTTTAATGCTTCAACCTCTTCAACTGAACCATCATTTGAATTATCATCAACAAAGATCAATTCTGTCTTTTTAGAGTCAGCAGTGCCCAAGGCAGCGAATAATCTAGTGGTTAAAGGTTTGATATTTAGCTTTTCATGATAAGCCGGAACAACAATACTGTTTTCAATAGCCATTTTCAGCAATGATTTGTCTTGATGGTCAAAGCTCAATTGATTGTTTATGTATTTTTTCGTGTTGGTGAAATTTTGGAGACGTGTTCAGAGAAAATTTAAAAAAAAAAGTGTCTTCTCATAGAGTGCGACAACCAAATATTGGCGATTTCACGGTGAAAGAGCCAGTAGTTGATTTTATACTGGGAAATGGGAGGGATTCGATGGGGTCTGTTGAATATATGAGAGTGGTAAGATGGGACTATGTGTATTGTGTTGTTCAGTGATGTTTACTTGGTGTCCTTTAGCGTTGCTACTAAAGCTGGCTCATCTACAGCACCAAAAACAAGGGAAGCCCAGGATTTAACACCACTCACAATACCCAGAATATACCCAGCTACACCTCCAACTTAAACTACACCATTCCCATAGACCACTCCCAATTTAACCACCGTTAATATGCGTAAACCAAATCCACTACAATTCATTGCCCTCGGAAAATACCCCTAAGAGCTATATCCGACTCCACCCAATCATGTTGGTGCAATTTTCAATCTCAAAGGAAAAAAAAAATAACGAATCCAAGTAACAATAATCTTCGACATCATATAGTTGTGTACACAAAACTCTCTCATCCATATTCAGCAACAACAAGAAGAAGAACAAGATGCTTTCAAGAAGATTGGCAAGATCAATTCCATCCTCAACAAGAGGTTATGCTACAAAAGTCCAAGCCACTGATTTTGAAGCTGGTAAAGTTTCTTCATTAACAGTCAAAGTTAATGCAGGTTCTCGTTATGCTCCAAAAGATGGTCTTGCTCATTTATTATCAAGATTCAACTTCCAAAACACTAGATCTAAATCTGCTTTGAGATTAACAAGAGAAACCGAATTATTAGGTGGTCAATTTTATTCAAAAGTTGATAGAGATGCAATTTATTTAACTGCAAACTTTTTAAAAGAAAATTTACCATATTTCGTTAATGCCTTAGGTGATGTCTTATATAAAACTTCTTTCAGACCACATGAATTCCCAGAAGTTGTTTTACCAGCTGCAAAATACGATTTAGCTACCGCTAATGCTGATCCAATTTTCAAAGCTTCAGAATTATTACATTCAATCACTTATAGAGGTGATTTAGGTAAACCATTATATTATGATGGTGTTCAAAATGTCACTTTAGATGATGTTAAAGCTTATGCTGACCAAGTTTACGTTAAAGAAAACATTGAAATCTATGGTAAAGGTATCAATCCAAAAGATTTAGATAATTTCTACAAAGATTCTTCATTATACGGATTACCAGAAGGTAAATCATTATTAGCTACTTCAGCTCCAAAAACTTATGAAGGTGTTGAATCAAGACTAAGAGCTACTGGTGCCTCAGTTGCTGCTATTGCTATCCCAGTTAAAGCTGCTGATTTTGCTACTTATGAAGTTTTAACAAACTTTTTATCATCTCCATTATCTGGTTTATCTGAATTGATTTCAGAAGTTAAATTTAACAAATATGCTCAATCAGGTTTATTCACTTTAGCTGTTAAAGGTGATTCATCAACTGTTTCTTCAAACATTAAACAAATTGTTTCAAGCTTGAAAAAATCTACTGATATCTCAGTTGCTAACAATTATACCAATGCTCAAATAGCTTTTGCCAATGACACCGCCATCACTCCATTATCTTTAGATGTCTCAAAAGTTAAAGATTTCAAATTAGGTAAATTTAACTATGTTGCTGTTGGTGATGTTTCAAACTTACCATATGCTGATGAATTATAAATTGTTGATTGAGCGACGAAAGAGTTAGATTAGAATGAGAGAAAGAAGTGATAAGAAAAATTTATCAAAATAATGACATGAGAAAATCTATTATAGCATTTTTTAAACAAAAAACTTGAATTATATATATATAAAAAAAAATAGGATGGTGATGTGGTGGTGTTAATTAACAATAAAGGAAAATTGAAAAAGAAAAAAAATCTATTATTATTGTTTGACTTTTGGGAGGAACAGAAAGATATAAAAGTACATACTATTCCATCAACCCCCCATTAATATTCTGTAAACTGTTTACTTTTATATTATACATACACATATATTGTGAATTTTTAACCATTTTTCTTTGTAGCATATTAATCACTAGTCTTTTGACTGCTGTATATACAACACGTTGTTACATCTTATGAACAAATCATTACCCAAGGGGGTTGATGTACCATCCACTATTTCTTCTGGATCAGATAAACTTATGTTAAAATAGTTATCACTAGCATTCAGTATTCCTTTATAACTTGTGTTGTTAAATTTTAGCTTTATCAAGACTTTTGTACCAACTAATTCTTTGATAAATGGTTTAGGGTTTATAACATTGAGCTGCATTAAAAGTTAGTGATCTCAAAAACAGTAAGCTAGAAAAACCCAATACAACTTACAGACATCTTTAATTATTGTTTTAGTATTTTGATGTTCACCCAAGAGTGTTGTCATCTGTTTAAAACCTTCATTTTTATGGAATAATTATAAAAATTAATTCGCGGTACTGCATTCGCGGGTAAGTTTCGCGAATTCATTTTATAATATATCACAACTACAGATCAGTTAACAAGTTAATTCTATTAGTTCAATCTATTTAAGCTTGTGGTTGAAGATATTGGGGTAACGTATGCACTGGTATCAGGCGTACTGGACTCATGCTTGGAAATAATATATGAGAGTGGAATTGGTTTGAATCCATCACCTGAAACAGTCAACTTATTATAAATCCTGGTCCAATAAATTTGGGTTAAAATCCATGGCTCTGTTAATGATTCAGGTACTGGGTCCGTAACTTGAGATATGAAATATGCTAAGCTTAATTGTTGTAAAATCAAAATTAATAATGCAATGTAGTTGAATTTCCATGCCAACATGGTGAAAACAGAACCGAATCCAAATGAAAGCCCAGCTCTTGAATAAAGCCAGTTATCAGATTGGAGATCAGTGAAATTTAGTTTTTGGAAATATGGAATGTTTAATAAATATTTAACCATAAGTTGTGTAATCGAGTAAAATGAATAAAATTCCAACAAAACGTACGGTGGTGTAACCAACCCCATTGAAAAAACAAGAAACGTAACACTAGTACCCAATTTAGTATTGAAACTTCTTGAAACAATAAATGAAACAACTACCGAGCTCAACCTAGGTATATGTGTGCATGAATAAATGAACAAATTCATCATCACCAATTGTAGATATGATTGCAACAATTGTGATAAATGATTGATTTGGTGAGTTGAAAACCGGTTCAATTTAGCTATCCAGTTTGATAGTAAAGAGATATTTCGAAGATTAACTCGTTTGCATTTCAATAAACCTGTTGAATAAACATTTTTGGATGTTTTCTTATTTGCTATAGTCACTTGATCAATGTACTGCAATCCACTAATGAAAACCTCTTCAAAAACATCATAATACAATGTATAAATCACTAAAAGTATGATGGCTTGTAACTGGAATACATCATAAATGAAGAACGAAATCAATTCATTCAATTTTTGAATGTCAATCTCTTTGTTCACAATGAAACGAAGTATCCAATAAGAAAATTTTGTAACTATGGAGGGCAAGGACAACACAATTTGAACAACAATTGAAAGCTGTAATGCAACAAAAGTGAATTTGAAATATTTGGGATTCTCGAAAAACAGTTGATTTTGAAGTAATCTATAGGCACCTAAGAATGCAAACTGACAGCCTTTGAATATAGCAGTCCATGAAAAAGTCGGGCTAGGATTTGAGACAAATATTGGTGAAGCCATGTTGTTTTCTTGATTATATGAAGTCTCTATATTAACGAGAGTTTTGGAATCATTATAAGTTGATGTACATAGATGTCAAAGCAACGTATTTTATAATTGTTCAAGTTTACGATCTATTTTTTTTTTTCTGTTCCTTATTTTACTTCCAGTGGAATTAGTTCGCGAGCTTCTAAAACTACACAACTCCATTTAAACAAAATAACTAGGATGAGCTCTTAAAGTTCATTTGTTTATTTTACTCTATAGGAATCCTTCTATCTTTCCCATTGCCCTGTGATTTTCTTCTCTCCATAACTTGGGCTGCTTGGTCTTTACCAAATCTTTTAACCAGCTTTCCATAGAATAACCCACAAGCATTACACAAAGATCTTGGACCATAAGGACCCCTTCTCCATTCTGGAGTATCATCAGAGTCACATTGAAGACAACATTGTCCCACCACTGTACTAGTTGGGATTTTTTCAACGTCAATCCCCAAAGAAGCAAGCTTCTCCTTCTTCTTCTCAGCATTGATTTCATCAATGAGATCAACTTTCCTTCTTTCTGGCGATGTAGATGATCTATTAGAACTTGATGCAGACTCAGAAACTGAGTTGGTTGTACTGGCATTATAGTCACTTGAAGGTTTGTGACCTGAGTTATGCACTGTTGATTGAAATGGGGTGCTTGAATGTCTATATACTGGTGTTGGTAATAATCGTTGTAGTTCCTTCTCCTTTTCATTCAATCTAAATTGCAACCAATCACAAAGACCCTTCTTAACTAGCTCAGCGTTTTGAATACAATCTTCCAACGCCTGTATTGGAATTGTTTGTAAGAAAGCATTCAAATCAGCACGAGATATTTTAGAAGCTATAGGATCACCATTTAGACTTTCATACTGAAATAAAAGGTTGAAAAGCTCTTGAGGTTCTTGCTGCACTTTCGTCCTGTTCACATACTCCATTAGATCTAGATAAATCCTATTAATAAACGGGAACAACTCTCTATGGGCATGATTGGATCTCTCAATTGAGTGCAATACTTCTATCAAACTTTCAGATAAAGCTAAATTCTTTGGTTGGAAACAATTACTCAAGGACTCATTTGACGTTGATTCTCTAGTTGAAGTAGTTTCATGAGGTGATTCCGATTTGGACAAGATATAATTTCTATTATTGGGCTCTGGAATGGATGTCCCTATTTCCTGGCTAAATGCTAAAAGTAATGTTTTGATTGCATCTTTGTTGGTACCTGATCCAGAAGATAACGGGTCACTAGCTCTACTTATTTGATGCGGTGTTTGTATCTTTGAGCTTGAGCATAGTTCTGTAAATGATGGTAAGCTGTCATAATTATTAGTAACACTGTCCCATTGTCTGATTCTTGATAAATTACCTACTTCTCTTTCTTTATTTCCTTGCCTGTTGTTTTTGAGTCAGTCATTCTGCATACAAAGTCTATTGAACAGACTAGCAAATGTGGTTGAGATCACATGGCTGATATTTCCGGTTTATATACTAGCAACTAAGAGGACTTTTTCTTTTCTATCTAAAGTTCTCATGTTTGAGGTGAATTCTTTTGGAATCTCGATTGATTGAATCTGTACGAGGATTTTTTGTAATTTTTGTTTAAATGTCGCGACAGAATTTTATTCCACGGAGAAACTTCCATTTCGGGCCAGTTTTGCGATCTATGGAAAAAAATTCATGATACGAAAGTAGATTTTTTGGTTTATCAACAGATTACATGATATTGAATAAATTGAGCCGATGGCGCACTTGTTTTTTTTCCTTCAGCTCCATGAGCTTTGAGAGTCATGGTTAATATTCTAGCCCATTCATAATAAATCTTCAAAAAAAAACATTAATGATTTAAGATGACATCTACATCCTCAATTGAAACCATTAAGCGGGAACAACTCAAAATCAAGGATGATGAGGAGGTTAATACACTGGAAGTTCACCTTTCTCAAGTTTTGGCTGACTCCCATGATAACATTCTACCCAAAAAAAAGCTACTTATTGTCTTTGGAGCCTTAGCAAGTGCATTGTTTTTATCTTTTGTTGACCAAAACGGGATTACTATTGCACTTCCAGATATAGCAGAGGAATTAGATGCTCAAGAGACAGTTTCATGGGCTGGGACATCATCCTTGATTAGTCAAACGGTATTCATGGTGCTCTTTGGAAGATTTAGTGACATTTTTTCAAGAAAATATGTTTTGATAGCCTCCATGGTTATTTTATCATTATCAGACTTAGCATGTGCATTGGCACAAACTCCATACCAACTATATATTTTTAGAGGTTTTTCTGGAATTGGTAATGGTGGTATTACATCACTGAGTATGATGATTGTTTCTGATATTGTTACATTAGAGGAAAGAGGGAAATATCAAGGAATTTTAGGTTCATGTGTTGGATTGGGTAATGCAATTGGGCCATTTTTAGCTTCAGCGTTCATAACACACACACACTCTTGGAGGAAATTCTACTTTATGTTATTCCCTCTTGTTATATCAGGATGCACATTCATTGTATGGCTGGTTCCTTATACACATCATAAACAGGATATGAAGAAACAATTTTCACAAATTGATGTTTTGGGGTTTTTGTCAAGCTCTGTTACAATAATTTTCCTATTGATTCCAATAAGTGGCGGTGGTTCAACTTATAAGTGGGATAGTGCATTTTCAATTGCATTCCTATGTATTGGAGGAGTTTCATTTATTGTTTTTTTGATTGTTGAAAAAAAGTTTGCACTTCTTCCAATGATGCCTTTACATCTATTCAATACTAGAGTTTCTTTGAATTTTTTATTTGCTCAGAATTTTTTCTTTGGAATATGTTATTTTGGTATGTTGTATTATATTCCATTTTATTTGCAATCAATTAGGGGTTTCAATACCATAGATTCTTCCAAGTATATGCTGTGTATGGTATTCCCACAGGTTTTCGTTTCTGTTATTAGTGGCCAGATTATTTCAAGACACAAACATTATTGGCATGTTGTGTGGTTTGGTTATACCTTTTGGACTGTTGGTATGGGTTTATTACTTCTTTGGGGAACAACTACACCTATTTCAATTACAATTGGTGCTTTAGTTGTTACTGGATGTGGTATTGGGGCAACTTTCCAGCCTACGTTGATTGCAGTACAAGCACAATCCTACAGAAAAGATCGGGCAATTGTTATTTCAACAAGAAATGTTTTACGTTGTTTTGGTGGCTCAGTTGGATTAGCCGTTGCTTCAACAATTTTGTCAAATTTTTATAATCAAAAGCTCACCAATTATGGAGCTTCTTATTTTAGTTCAGAAGAAGTCAAATCTTTAAAGAGTCAAGTGTTTAGCATTCCCTCTTTTGATAAGTACTCTTTGATCCAAGTCCAATTCTTGAAAAATATTTATATGGAATCATTGAAGAATGTGTTTTACTTGTGGATAGGTTGCATTGCCTTTTGTTTATTGAGTAATGCCACCGTTAGAGATACAGGTTTAGAACCTCTACAAGAAAATGTTAATGAAAAATAATTCTACTCAAATTTGAAGCACAAACTCATCAATAAACCATTTATGAAACCTACAATCATCACTCAATTCTGGATGGAAAGAGGTTCCCAGAATGTTTCCTTGTCTAACAGCCACAATAAGACCGTTATCTAATTGATATAAGATTTTGACGGGTGATTCATTGACTTTTTCTTTGATAATGTTGGAAAATATTACATTTGCATTTTCACTAATGGTTTCTTTCATTGTTATTATTTCATCTGATGAACTCGTTTTTAAGATTTTTGAAACAACAGGGGCTCTTATAAAGATTGACGGGAAATCATTTACACCAGGAATAAATGAAGTAAAGTCAAGATTTTGTTCGAACGAATCAAGCTGCCTTCCAAATGCATTTCTTTTGACTTGAATATCCAAAGCACCAATTAATTTTTGACCAGGAGAACCATTTATAACTTGCTTTGATAAAAAAATCAACCCTGCACAAGTTCCCCAAATTGGTTTTTTTAAAAGGGCATAGTTTGCTAAAGGTTCTAACATGCCACTTCTCTCTGCAATCAATGACATTGAAGTAGATTCTCCTCCGGGAACAATCAATGCATCACAAGTGGACAATTGTTGTTGATTTCTAACTTCAATATAGGATATTTCATAGCTATCGTAGTTATTTGTTGCTTGGTTTAGTAGATGAATATGCTCTTTGAAAGCACCTTGTAGAGCTAATACACCAACTGTATACTTTTTTTGGTTCCTCATATCCTTGATGAAAAGTATAATACGAGCAAGGTTAAGAATTGGGTAGTTTTGAGTCATTAAATAGGAGCATACAATTCATGAGTCAACCATATATTAATTCGTTTGGTTGGTTCGAATATACTTAAGAGAATAATCCGAGTCAACACTTCGCTCCGTGCGAACGAGTCACCAGCTTGTCAACCAACGAAAAGTCGCTTAAACGTTTGATGGGCTAAAGATAATAATCTAGTTCCCGTGTATAAATATGGCTTCAACTCCTTGATCTTTGTAGTAGTTTTGACGTCCCAAATCAATAACAGCTCATCATGTCGGATCTAAAGTTAAACAAAGGGCTAGCTCAAATGCTTAAAGGCGGTGTTATTATGGACGTTGTCAACGCAGAACAAGCAAGAATAGCTGAAAGAGCTGGTGCTTGTGCAGTCATGGCATTGGAGCGTATTCCAGCGGACATGAGAGCTTCGAATCAAGTGTGTCGAATGAGTGATCCTAAATTGATCAAAGAGATAATGGAAACCGTCTCTATTCCAGTGATGGCCAAGTGCAGAATCGGGCATTTCGTGGAGTCTCAAATCTTGGAGGAAATAGGAATTGACTACATTGACGAGTCTGAAGTTTTAACCCCTGCCGATAAATTGTATCACATTGACAAGAAGAAGTTCAAAGTTCCATTTGTATGTGGTGCTAGAAACCTCGGTGAGGCCTTGAGAAGAATCGATGAAGGTGCAGCAATGTTGAGAACCAAAGGTGAAGCAGGTACAGGTGATATTTCCGAAGCTGTTTCTCATATAACTTTGATTAAGCAAGAGATTGAATACGTCTTGACTTTAAAGAATGATGAAGTTAAGTTAGAGGTTTATGCCAACGACAACAGAATCCCCATCCAAAGACTAAAAGATTTGATTTCCAACAATGGGAAATTTCCAGTTGTCAATTTTGCTGCAGGTGGTATTGCAACCCCAGCTGATGCTGCGTTATGTATGCAATTAGGTTGTGATGGTGTGTTTGTAGGATCTGGTATTTTTAAATCCAAAAATCCAGAAAGATTGGCTGCTGCTATTGTGAACTCAGTGACTCATTATAATGATCCAGCCAAATTATTAGAGTACTCAACTGATTTAGGTGAATTGATGTTTGGCGTTGCAGTGGATCAATTGAAAGAAAAGGAAAAATTGTCAACTAGAGGTTGGTAAAATCTATAATCATGTATATATATATATTTAATTATATCAGTACTGTAGAGAATACATCATATGTAGTCGTTTCAGGTAACCTTTTTGAGAATGTGGATGAATATGCTGTAGCTTTTGTAGCTGATGGGACTGATGTTACTATTGGTTCAATGTCTTCTTCAGAGCTATGGTTAGCTTGTGCAATTGATATTTCTTGATCTTCCAAGTCGTAAACAATGTATGCAGAGCTTAAAAAAATGTCACCTAAAATAATTATATCATCTGTTAATGAAACAATTTTCAAAAAGCATACATCATTTGATGGTTGTTTTTGAACTGCATTTGATAATGGAACACTGATGATTTTTCCTGAAAAATCCAACTCAAAGGTATAATTTTTGTCACCAAGGTATGAACAATCAACGTCATAATATTCATAACTATTATGTTTAACTGTTGTCAAAGTTGATCCTAATTTTCTAGCTAAAGGATCTAATAACTGATGGGGGAAATTCGCAGTTGTTGTACCAGAATCCAATAAGGTTTTATAAAAAGTTGAAGATATTGTTTCAATATTGGAGCCATTTGTCTTTAAACCTAAACTTGATAATGTGACAGCTGTTGTTTGATCTGATAGGATCGGAACTGTGACTAACCCACCTGAATATTTGGCATGATCAACACCACCGACTAATAAAGTGCCTTCGAAATCACCAGGTTTACCAGAACTTAATGAATATGTAATCTTAGATATATGACCATCTTGTTTTAATCTCATTGGGAAATTTGAGTATGTATATGGAGGTTTGGAATTCATTATGTAAGTTGTTTCACTTTTATCAAAACTAATTCCAAATATTGCTGATGCATTACTGCTATTTGTCACTGCAAATGAAAAATTTGGAATTTCAATACCACCAACTTGAATGTTATCAGTTCCCCATAATCCTGTTGATATTGAACCATCTAAATAACTAATTTTGAATAAAGTATCATTTGAATGCCAAGTTTTGGAATTATGATAATTGAATACATTTGAAGGTGAACAATAATTTTGTATATCTTTTGCTAATTCAGCTAATGCTGATTCTTTTGGATTAGTTTCAGAAGATGTTAACTCTGGAGCATCAACGAATCTTGGTCCATTAGGTTTCCCATTGGTGCATTCGGTGTTATCAGGTCCAGGGAACCATAGATCTGAAGATCCAGTATCCAGTACCGCCAATATCTCTTTCCCTTGAGAACCCACTGTTAAATTAACATAATATGCTACTGTATCATCTGTGAACCCTATAGCTTGATAAGTATCTTGTCTTTTCCTCAATTTATTGATTAATGGACTTGAGGCTGTGTGTGAATTAGAATCTTGAGTTTTCTTGGAGTAATCAAATTTGACAACTTGACAGGAAACAGATTTTATGATGAAGAAGGTTGATAAAAAGAGCACTAAAAGCTTCATAGTCTTGTTGGATTGTTTTCAAGATATTGTAGAAGGAATGGCTCGAGGAAAATTAAGTTCTTATAACACGAAAACTTTTTTTGTTCATGATTACCATCTTTGGATACAAATTGACAACACGGTGTGCTCTGCTCAAAGGCTTGTTGAATACTTTTTAATTAAGTGCATTATCCATGATCGACAATGTATGGTTCCTGGAAGAAACGATTCCAGAATCAAGAGCTCTTTTTCTTTTTCGCGAATGTGCAATTGGCACGGAGATTTGTGGCAGGTCTGACTACAGCTTTAAACATGGCTCTTCCTATATTACTCTTCAGACTTCAATTCCCTTTTTCTTCAAAAGCTCAACAGATTCATTGATAATTTTACCAGCGTGCTCTGGTGTCATACCTTTAGAAATTGGTATTTCTTTAGCTTTATTATTGAATGCGACTCCATTAAACTTTTTAAGTTTTCGTCTGATTTATAATCACGGATTTCATCGCCCTTTGTTTCATTCACTGAGTTCAAGTTCAACTTCTTCTCCAAGATGTACTTGAGATCATCTTCACTCAAACGATCAGAGAATAACTCATCAATTCTATCTTTGGTAGTCATAGGAATGTCTCCATCGGAGCTGTCACTTTCTAACTTCACCATGATGTTTAATGATCAACAGAAGAATCGATTTAATAACAATAGGAACAACTAACTGATGCCAATCTAACTCTAGAAGCGTCTGGAGCTGCTAATAAGAGATCTGATACTAGATTAACGACAAACAAATCAATAGATAACAAGACAAATATAAGATGTAACAAATAACAAATATGTATTCAACACAAACAGCAAAGTCAACAAGTCTCAGTGGTAATACACCAGGAATGTTTCAACACTCTCCAAAGGTCTAAACAAATATACAAGAACAGCAGCGGAAAATCTTTTCCAACATTTATAATGAAAATTTTTCCTGAACCAGCATGTAAATAGTATAACCCGGAACAACTCATCCAAGATT